GTGTGTGTGCGCGCGCGTGCGTGCGTGTAGTAAGAATAGATATAGATAGACAGGAAAAGGTATGTACTGCAGTTTAAGAGTAGAGCCCTGGCCAGGCACGGTGGCTCACGCCTGTAATCCCAGCACTTTGGGAGGTCAAGGCAGGTGGATCACGAGGTCAGGAGGTAGAGACCATTCTGGCCAGTATGGTGAAACCCTGTTTCTACTAAAAATACAAAAATTAGCAAGGTGTGGTGGTGGGCACCTGTAGTCCCAGCTACTCAGGAGGCTGAGGCAGGAGAATACTTGAACCCGGGAGGCGGAGGTTGCAGTGAGCTAAGATGGTGCCGCTGCACTCCAGCCTGGCGACAGAGCAAGACTCTGTCTCACACAAAAAAAAGAAAACAGAAAAAAAAGAGTAGAGCACTTCTCAGCTACACTGACTAGAAATATTTATGATCCAGAGAAGCTGACACAAAAAAGACAGAAATGATCACAGAAACTAGGAAGTCAAGGGAACAGGCATGGTAGTGATGAAGGGATGACTGCCAGTGGATATACGAGGAGAAATAGGAATAAAAACATCTGGAAAAACAACAAAGCGTAGGCAGCAAACAGGTCTAGGCTATGGTTTGTGATAAATATTGGAAGGGGAAACCTTTTCCTTTTGGTTTTCCTCTTCAGGTACCTTTTCCTGATTTTTAAATACTGCTGATTTCACTTGAATGATAATTCATATTATCAGTAAACAATGAAATGCAGTCCCCAGACTTCTGGACAGATTCTTTTTACTCTTTCTTGATCGTGTCAATGAACTGTGTGCATCACCTACCCTAGCTATTCCGGAATGCTTAGGCAAATACTCCACTGAGTTGAGTCACACTTGAGAGCTGACGTCAGTGTACATTTTAGTAGAGAACCTAGTTAAGATTTCATGCTCCAGGAAGTCTGTTCTGATTAGTTTTAGCTTAAAAAAAAATCAACCTGTGTTTGTGTTGGCACAGAAAACAACTCTGCAGCCATATTGGTTTTGGTGACCATGTTTTTATAAAGTAATATGCAGGTGAGAACAATTTACTTTTCATACATATAAAAATTGTAAGATTATACATACATATATACATATTAAATTCAAGCAGATGAGAACACTTTAAACCATTCAGAAGAATATCTACCCCTAAAACTTCCCAGAGGTAACATGTTTTCTTCTGGAAATTACTATCTATCTATCTAAGTCATACATATATATACATTACTTTAAAAAATATTATCTAGACTGTGTTATTTATATTATTACTTTTTTTTTTTTCCGAGATGGAGTTTTGCTCTTGTTACCCAGGCTGGAGTGCAATGGTGCGGTCTCGGCTCACCACAACCTCCGCCTCCTGGGTTCAGGCAATTCTCCTGCCTCAGCCTCCTGAGTAGCTGGGATTACAGGCACGCGCCACCATGCCCAGCTAATTTTTTGTATTTTTAGTAGAGACGGGGTTTCAGCATGTTAACCAGGATGGTCTCGATCTCTTGACCTCGTGATCCACCACACACCTCGGCCTCCCAAAGTGCTGGGATTACAGGCGTGAGCCACCGTGCCCGGCTATATTATTACTTTTAAAACATATAGATAGCACCTGTAATCCCACCATTTTGGGAGGCCACGGTTGGAGGATCACTTGAGGCCAGAAGTTCAAGACCAGCCTGGCCAATATGGTGAAACCCGATCTCTACTAAAAATACAAAAATCAGCTGGGCGTGGTTGTGGAACACCTGTAGTCCCAGCTACTCAGGAGGCTGAGGTGGGAGGATTAGTTGAACCTGGGAGACAGAGGTTGTAGTGAGCCAATATCATGCCACTGCACTCCAGCCTGGGGGATATAGTGAGACTTCGTCTCTCCCCCCACCGTGTGTACGTATACATATATATATATATATATATATATATATATATATATATATATAAAATGAAAAAGTATAGAGTAAGTTTTTAAGAGACGAGGTCTCACTCTGTCACCCAGGCTAGAGTGCAGTGTCATGATCATAGCTCACTGTAACTTCAAATTTCCTGGGCCCAAGCAAGTCTTTTTTCTCAGCCTCCTGAGTAGCTGGGACTACAGACGTGCACCACCACACCCAGCTAAGTAAAAAATATATTTTTTAGAGATAGGGTCTCCCTGTGTTACCCAGGCAAGTCTCAAACACATGGTCTCAAGTGATTCTCCTGCCTCAGCCTCTCAAAGAGCTGGGATTACAGGTATGAGTCATTGTGCCCAGCCCTCAAATTTTTAATGTTTGAATAATTTTCTGTTACAAAGGTAGTGTCTGATGTATTTAACTAATTCCCTATTGGAAGAGACTGAGGTTTTCTTCAACTTCTTTATCATGAAAGTTACAATTTTTTAAAGTTTCCTATGGTTGTCTTGCCATCCTTTTTAAATGTAGTATCTCTGTAGTGATCAGCACCATCTCTGGCATATAGCAGGTAGTAAATGAATGTTAATTCCCTTTCCTTCTCTCTCTACATAATGTGTGTGTATATACAGGCACACACACACACACACACACACATACACACAAACACCCACAAATACACACACATAATTTTTTTTAGGTTTGAGAATGACTTTCTGTTGCACTATCTACACTTGCTCCTTATCAGGCTTGGCCAACCGGCTCATATGAGATATGTCCTTTGCAGCTATGGAAAATTTTTCCTCTGTGAGGAGATAATTGATATTTGTTTAAGTTAATTACTAGCTTTGGATTATTAACACCCAGAACAGAGTATAGTCAGTGGATCCTCAGATTTATACAGCCTACCTCTGGTGCATCAGTGTTTTCATCTTAGTAGATAAAAGGTGACAAGTTTTGGTAACTAAGTAGGAAGAAAACTTTTGCTAATACCTCCAGTTTCATGTTTTTGCACTTAAAAATATTATTTACTTAGTTCTTTTCTAATGTACATGATTAAATCTCAGTACTGCAGGATGCACATCTAATTTTCATACTTGGAAAAATAGAGTAAAGGCAATTCTAGTAAAATTTCTCAAAGTGGAAAGTGGAAAAGGAAGGAACAATCCTGATTCATAGCTAGAGCTGATGAAGGCACAGAAAATAAAAACAAAACTAAAATCCATGGTGATCTCTCTAAAAAGGCATGAAGGAGTGAGAGAGAAAATGGCACAGCATGAGTAAACACATCAAATGCAGTTGGGATAAATATAGATGACTGGAAAATGATTGTAAGGGAAATCGTTCCAGGAATGTCATGGATTTCCAACTAGGGGGATTACTGTGTGCAGCTGTTGAATGGGGGCTCATTCTTGAGGTCTCAAGTTCCACTTGTTGGGCAATAAAACCTTTTGTGTGAGTGACATGATATCTCACCTGGAGAAGCCAGTCATCTCATTCTTTTGGGGCAGGTGGGGCATAAGAATTAAACAAACAGAAAAACTTCCACTTCATTTTTTAGTTATTCTTGGCCAGGAAAGTACCATTTCAGTCAAACTTTGAAGACTATTCTTAGAACAAGTGGTAACATTTTCTCCGGATTCGTGTGTTTGGTTTTTTGTTTTAAATTTATCATGTAAGGCTACACTACAAAGATGTTTTCCAAAATCTAGAATAATGCTTGTATTTGCTTCCCAAACTATTTTTCTGCCCCAGATTAAAAAAACAGCATGTGGGAATTAATCAGCTCTTAATAATAAACAGATAGCAAGGAAATCCTCTTTTAGGGAAATTCAGGACCCAAAATCTTTCTTAGGCAATATTCAAGGAGCCCTCATTGTGAGTTTAAGTGGAAAGAAGTGTTTTTCAAGGGAAAGTGATTGTTATTCCACAGTGTATTCTGATAACTATTTTGGCAAAATTATGAGACTTCATTAAAATAGCCTTTTACATGATTTTAAAATTACATTATTAACATGTTCTGTTTCTATAAATGCACACAAGGTCAAACGTGGTAAAATAGAGCTGTTTCTGGAGAGTGTAAGAATATCAGTATAAAGGTGTTGTAAAAATGAATTGGGTATTTGAGATGTATACAGGTCTGTTAATGCACTCTGATGGTATGTACTCATTCTGAAACTTTGATACTGTAATCGTTCTACCCTCCTATATTTTGCTATACATCACAGTCATTAGATCACTTCATGATGTAGAGTTAATTTCAGCATATCTAAATATTATCAGTTATGAATGATAACTCTGGCGGTGGAGTCGAGAGTTACAGCATACACAGTTAATGGTTACTAATTTGGTGCCTATTTTGCCAACTTAGAACACTCACTTAGAACTCAGAACAAAGATTTTCACAAATATCTATTTCCCCCGTTACCCTTATCATAGCTCTATCGTTGGTGAAGATTAGTCTAACTGAACATGCCATCTCTATTGCTGTTATTTTCACGGGCTTGGCTGCCAATTACCGGTTCCCTAGAATTTGCTCGTAATTGACTATGTCCCACTATAGGTAACTCTGGAAGTGACAGGCAGCTTCCAATGTGGTTCTCCCGCCTGTCGATTGGGCCTTGCAGGAAGCCCCGCCTCATTAACTCAGTCAAGGGTGGCAGTTGGCTCGGCGTCGATGAGTGGCGGGTTTTAGCTCCGCCCCGGCCGTCCGCTGCGCTGCCTGGGTCGGCGCCGTTTCCAGTTGAGAGATGGCGGCCGCCGCAGGTAGATCGCTCCTGCTGCTCCTCTCCTCTCGGGGCGGCGGCGGGGGCGCCGGCGGCTGCGGGGCGCTGACTGCAGGCTGTTTCCCCGGGCTGGGCGTCAGCCGCCACCGGCAGCAGCAGCACCACCGGACGGTGAGCAAGCGCGCCCGGAGGCTCCGGGGAGGGCGGGGCGGCGCTGGCGTGTGGGAGCCGCCGGCGGGCAGGCCGCCGGGGCAGCAGGCGAGTTACCTCAACTCCCGGCCGCTCCCGAGGTTGCCGGGCACCGGGGAGCCGCTGTGCCCTTCAGGCGCCTGCGGCGGCGACCAGGAAGGGAGGGCAGGCGGGAGGAAGCCGAGAGGAGGAGGAGGGGCGACGGCGGGGATGTTCCCGCAGGACTGGGGACACCAGGGCGGGGAAGGCATGGGACTTGAACCTCGCCCCGACCCGCCTCCAATCTCGGTCCCTGCCTTCTTCGTTCTTAACTGCCCTGCCCCAAGTCTCCCGAACGGAGCCCAGTGCAAGTTGTCCCCTTTCCCTCCTCCTCCGGGCGGGTTGGGGAGTCCTGAGTTGCCGCGGCTGCCTTGTGTTTGCCAGGAGCGTGGCAGTGCCATGCTGCTGGGAGCTGCCCGGGAGAGCAGCCCAGGACCCTGCGGGGCCGCCCCTCATCCTCTGTCGGCCCGGAGGGGACGGGCAAGAAGGAAAATCAAACTTTATCCCCCTCTGTGACTTCGTGTGTGTGTGTGTGTGTGTGTGTGTGTGTGTGTGTGCGTGTGCGCGCGCGTGCATGGGAACCAGCTCCCTCGAGATGGATGCTGCATTGCTTCTGGAGGCAAGCTCCATCCTCTCGGGTCCTTAAAGGTGCTTTCGGGGGTCCTTTTGAGGGCTGCTGTATAAGCGTGTTCACGCGTGTCCGAGGCGGGAAGGGTGGGCAGCAGGCACAGGAGAAGCAAATATGACAAGTTGTTGACAGAGGCAGAGATGTGGTGGTTGTATTAACCAGCTGTTGCTGCGTTTCATTGGCTGGCAGAGAAAGAGGATTTCTGTTTGAACACTCTTAGGTGAGTGTGTGTGTGTGTGAGAGAGAGACAGAGTGTGAGAGAGATTTCATTTTTCAATTCCAAGAGATGAATTTGGCATGGAGTTCTTGACCTAACAAGTCAGGAGGTTTCCTTCCCTTGGACTCTCTAGACCTGTATGTGTTGGTCTCTGGCCAGCTCTGAAGGAAGAAAAATGTAGTTTTTATTTCCTGGGGCTAAGTTGTACAGTGTGGTTATTAGAGGATCACTGCAAACAGCCTGATAGGAGAAACTGCAATAGTACCTTCAACCCTCAATAAACACATTACCTGCCTTGTTCTGATCATAGCTCTTAAGAGGAAACTGAACTGGAGCTCTTCAGAGAGCATACTCCAAAGGCCAATGACAAAATCAAAATCAAGTGTCTGAAAGAGCTATGAAAACACCTAATGCTCTGCAAAAGCAAAGTTGTATTGTTCTTATTAGTCATAGGTATGGACCCTACCCTCATTCTTATTTGGCATACTGGCATATTGCTCTGATGAAGCTTTTGGGTGAGAGCCGAGCTTTTCCACAGTTCAATTTAATTTACATGTTTCATAGCCTCCAGTTACGTGTTTTGTTCTCTTAAAAACATAAGGCCACCCAAATTTTGATTGCATTCCTCTTTCCCTCCAACTATTTAAAGACTTCCCAAGTTGTCCTTAAGTCTTTATTTTGATAAGACATCTTCTGACTTTTCACAGTTTTTAAGATTGTTTGGGTGTGATAGTCATTGAGCATTTTAAGAAATTTGTGCCTTGTGTATTTTCCACGATGCAAGTTTGTCAAGTGGTGAGTGTCTCCCTCGCGGGTATACTTTATGAAAGTGTTCTCTGTGCTATTCTAGGGTGAATAAAAGTGAAGTGGTGAATTTGTAACTGAAAGCACAATTAAAGAGTTATTTCTGAAGGGCAGGAATGTTACAGGAATGGTGACTTGTAAATGAATTTAGAATGGTAAGATTTTGAAAAAAGTTGAACTTGATTATTTAAAATATATAAACAGACTTTCTGTTTTTCTACAGTTCTTCTGAAGCCATCATGTATACAGCTGTTTCCATAGGATAGTCTGTTATTCCTTACAAGACATTCCATTTAAAAAGTATTGAGGCCCAGAAAAGAGAGAGATTTGGCCAAGGTTACATTAGCTAATATGTAGCAGTTTTAGGACTCCCATCCATCTGAGATATTCTCACCCCTTAGTGTGTTATTTTTATTGTAAAGTGCAAATGCTCCTTTAGGTCTCTTTCCTCCCTTATAACATTTACTGTTGGCTGTTAGGAAAGTATTGGTATTTCAAAAGCCCATGAATGGGAATTCTCCTGTAAGTAGGTGTTGGTTTGAGTACATATATTAGGTGAACAAACAACTTGCCAGAAAGAATAGGTGTTCTGATAAAGGTCCCTGAGAGACACTAAGGTTGACTCTGAATCTTGCTTGGGAGACATCCTGTGTATGTGCAGCAGATGGCAGTCTGCATTGGACTGGATCACAAGTATGCCACTTTTGTTCTGCTGTGGTAGGTATGGTAAATTACAACCAGGGGGGCATAACCAGTTACAGCACTGCTTACTTTTTTGTATGAGAAATTCATATTTTCCAAGCTTCAAGAATGAGTCCAAAGCAATTCAGTAGTTCAGCTAGTTGATAAGTGCAATTATGAAGTTAGAAACATAGTTTGTCCCCTCCTTCTTCCCCATTAGTACATCATTCAACTGAGTAAATAAGAGTAAAGGTTCAGGGGCTTATTCAATATTTTTAGCAACATCTAGTGTAATTTTTTCCCCTTCTGTCCAGCTTGTGACTGTAACCAAAACTTATGTAAATTGTTTGTTGCATGCTTTTCTGTATGGTTAGTGAAAGTGGCTGCTATTTTTAAGGATGATTCTTTGAAGAGGAACTGCCTTTCATTGTGAGCTGTGTAATTCCACTGCTAAAACAAACTGTCTCATCTCTGATTATGACAGCCTCACTGTTGGCATTTTCTAGCGGTTAACGGCTATGATGAATTACTACATCTTTTACTTAAGTCATCATTGTCCTGTTATAGTTTGTGGCTGACCTGCTCTACTTTACACATCACAGTTCTTTGGCAATGATACTGTTTCAGCTTAACCTGAAAATTTTAACAGGTTACATTTCCTGGCACAGAGGCAGGTCCTAATGCTTTAATTGAGTTCCTCATGGTCTGGACCACTCTTAGGCCCGATCTACCCCAGCCCTAATACTCCATTTTACTTAAGCCAGTCTCTGCACTGTCCCATACATCCATACTAAACCTTTATGGATTTTTTTATAGCTGAATTTCAGCCTTTATCACCTCTAGCCTCTAAGGTCCATTTCAGCTTACAGACTGTGAAGTACAACTCCTTTTGAAGCTAACATTCTTGCTTTACACATGAGGAAACAAACATAATAAACTGAGGAAAGTGACTTGTTATGCTCGTGATTACGAACAGACCAAGGATTAAAATTCCTTTAAATTTTTTTTTTTTTTTTGATACAAGGTCTCACTTTGTGACCCAGGCTGGAGTTCATTAATACTATCGCAGCTCACTGCAATCTTGAACTCCTGGGCTCAAGCTATCCTCCCACCTCAGCCTCCTAAGTAGCATGCGCCACCATGCCCAGCTAATTAAAACAAAAAAAATTTTTTTTTTTTTTTTTGGTAAAAACAGGGTTTTTCTACCAGACCAGTCTCAAACTCCTTGACTCATCCTCCTAAAGTGCTATTATTATAGGCGTAATCTACTACATCTGGCCTAAAATTCCTTTAAATGGAGATGGATTCAAGAATTCCTAGTGTGAAGATCTGGCCTAAAGTTCCTAGACTTTCAGGGATAATTTCTTTTTTTTCTTTTCTTCTCTTTTTTCTTTGAGACAGAGTCTGGCTCTGTCACCCAGGCTGGAGTGCAGTGGCGTGATCTCGGCTCACTGAAACCCCTGCCTCGTGGGTTCAAGCAATTCTCTGCCTGAGCCTCCCAAGTAGCTGGGATTATAGGTGCCTGCCACCACGCCCAGCTAGTTTTTGTATTTTTAGTAGAGACGCTATTTCACCATCTTGGCCAGGCTGGTCTTGAACTCTGGATCTTGTGATTTACCCGCCTTGGCCTCCCAAAGTGCTGCGATTACAGGCATGAGCCACCGTACCCAGCCATCAGGGATAATTTCTATAGTTCATTACTAGAAAAGTTTCTCTAAATGTGTAGAGAAAAAAAAATTTCCTGGTTTGAGTCTCGATTTGCATAATTCCTGGTTGTTAACCCTTTTCTATTGTTTTATTCTGTCCTCTCTGAATTCTGATTGGATTTATTATCTTCAGGACATGGATTGACACAGACATGTTTTCTAAATGTTTTATTTGTGGGCATCTAATCTTGCTGGGGAGATAAAGCAACAATGCCGTATCTTATTACCTTTGTATCTCATAGACTCCAGCACAATGCTGGGTACATAGGTGACACTCAGACAAGTGTTAATTAGCTTTTCACCCCTTTTTCTGCTTGCTAGGGGAAAGTTATGCCCTTTATCTCCTTTCCCTATCTCCCTGCCCCCAGTTTGGCTTGCTTTATAGCCTTGCTTAGGTAGCCACATCTGGAGAATTGCTTTAAGCTTAGTATTGCCAGTGTTGTCTTTGGTTGTATATTACACTCTTTATGGTGGAGTGCTGGAAAGAGTTGGTACCATTGGATTAGCTCAGCAGTGGTCACTAGATTTCTGACAATAGCCAGCAAAAGTACAGTCATTACCCAGATTATTATATGTTTGAATCAGATTCCACATTTGTTGGTTTATTCTATATTAAGATTTTGAGAGTTATGGATAAATTTGTTTAGAACAGACTCCCTCTATTTATTTATTTATTTTTTAGATCTAGTCTTGCTCTGTTGCCCAGGCTGGAGTGCAGTGGTGTGATCTCGGCTCACTGTAACCTCCACCTCCTGGCTTCCAATGATTCTCCTGTCTCCAAGCGATTCTCCTGTTTCAGCCTCCCAAGTAGCTGGGATTACAGGTATGCACCACCATGCCCAGCTAATTTTTGTATTTTTAGTAGAGACGGGATTTCGCCATGTTGGCCAGACTGGTCTCAAACTCCTGGCCTCAGGTAATCTGCCCGCCTTGGCCTCCCAAAGTGCTGAGATTACAGGCGTGAGCCAACGCACCTGAGCCAGACTTCTTCTATTTTTTTTTTTTTTTTTTTTTTTGAGATGGAGTCTTGTTCTTTCACCAAGATTGGAGTGTAGTGGCGCGATCTTGGCTCACTGCAACCTCCACCTCCTGGGTTCAAGCAATTCTCTGCTTCAGCCTCCCGAGTAGCTGGAATTACAGGTGCCTGGCACCATGTCCAGCTAATTTTTTTGTATTTTTAGTAGAACCAGGGTTTCACCATATTGGCCAGGCTACTTTTGAACTCCTGACCTTGTGATCCCCCCACTTTGGTCTCCTAAAGTGCTGGGATTACAGGTGTGAGCCACTGCACCTGGCCCTATTTTTTTTTTGGGATGGAATCTCACTGTCACCCAGGCTGGAGTGCAGTGGCACAATCTCAGCTCACTGCAACCTCTGCCTCCCAGGTTCAAGCAATTCTCCTGCCTCAACCTCTTGAGTAGCTGAGATTACAGGCGCCTGCCACCACACCTGGCTAATTTTTGTATTTTTAGTAGAGACAGCATTTCACCATGTTGGTTAAGCTGGTCTCGAACTCCTGACCTCTTGATCTGCCCGCTTCGGCCTCCCAAAGTGCTGGGATTACAGGTGTGAGCCACTGCACCCGGCCAATTTCTTCTATTTTTAAAGAAGC